TCCCGGCTCCATGGCGCGTGCGCGGGGGGCTGGAATGCGCGTCTCTCCATGGAGACGGCGCGCGACGGCCGCGTGCGCGCCTCCCATTGGCGGAGAGCACGGAGAGGGCGCGGCCAGAGCCCGCTATGGGTGGGGCCAAGAGGCGGGGTCGGATTGGAGAGGGGGCGTGGCCATGGAGAAGTAGGCGTGGTCAGGGATGGGGTGCGGGGGAGGGTGTGCGGGGGAGGGCAAGGGGGTGCGGGGAGATGGTGCAGGGGGATGGGGGTGCGGGAGGATGGGAGTGCGGGAGGATGGGAGTGCAGGGGTCGGGGATACAGGGGTGATGGGAGCCGGCGGTGTGGGGTCACGGAGGCGCAGGGGGGTTAGGAATGAGGGGAGATGCCATGCGGCGGTGCAGGTGGACAGGGGTGCGGGGGCACCGGGGTGCAAGGGTGCAGGGATAAGGGGGTGCTGGGGGGGCGGGGAGCGTGTGGGGCACAGGGGTGCAGGGGAGTGGGGGGCGCAGGAGCACGGCCGTGGCCGCACTGCGGGGCTCAGTCTGTCCCCATCTCTGGAATCCATGTCCTCCCCCGTCCCAGCCTGTCCCGGTGCCCTGGACAGGGGAGCGCTGTGCCTGAGCAGGACCAGCTCAGCCCCACTGTGGCGGCAGGAGAGACGTGCCCAGGGCTCCTGGGGACACGCTGCTGCCCACGGCTTGACCCAAGCGACCCCCAACCCCCACACACGCCCGCCCGCCCCAGGGACCCCCAATTGGCCCAGGGTGACGGGGCCGGACGTGCCCGGCGCCTGGCTGGGTGCAGCCGGCGTGGAGCAGCTGCCTCCCCTCCCCGCGAGCCCTCGCTGGGCCCCCGGCCCCATCCCTGCGGGGACCGAGCAGAAGAAGGGCCCTTTGATAGCGGGCGGCGAGGGCTGTTATTGCAGCGCTCTGCGGTGTGCGCCGGCGGGGCACCGCGGCCTCGGCGCTGGGGCCTCTGTTTTTCCTGGCTGGGAATGTGCCTGGCCCCTCTGGCCTCGGCCGGCCCTGGGGGGGCCCCCCACCGGGGACCGGCTCCTCCCTGCGGGCGCTCGGCCCCGCGCCAGGCAGGGGCTCCTCCGAGCCCATCTGCTGTGCAGCTGCAGCGAGTACGGAGAGGCAGGAGGCATGGCCCGAGCTCATCTCGTGCCTCCCCCATGCTGAGGCAACATCAGCCCTGCTGCCGTTGGAGGGGAGTGCCAGGATGTCCCCGAGGGCTGGGGTGTCGCTGTGAGGGTTCTGGGGCGAATACTGCTGGTGCTGCCCCCACGCTCAGCCGCGGGCCCAGCACTGGCCCCTGTGGTGCACCCGAATGGCAGCTTGGGCTCCCTGTCCCAGCTTGCACCCCGGGTGCTCTTCCCAGAAGCATCCCCAGGTTCCCCACCAGACACACGTGGGCTTGCCAAAAGCCTGACCAGGCAGGGGGGGTGCCTGGGGGACACTGAAGAGACACTAACAGCACCACAGTACAGTGCAGGACAGGAACCTTAGCGATGCCAGCCCGGAGGGGTGCACTCACTGTGGGGCAGACCAAACCCCGGGGTGGCCAATGGGCCATCTCTGTGGGGCTGTGACCTGACAGCATCACAGTGGGGCAGCAGCCCTGGAGCTGCTGGAGCACATCTGGCTGCCTCTTGCCGGCTGACACATCCCCCGCAGCCCCCCTGCCCGGCTCTTTTGGGAACTTGCGTCATTTGTGATCCTCCTCAGCTGAAGAACCAAAACAGCCGTTGGCCCTCATCCCCTCTGCCCTCCCCACCTCAGCCCCATGGGGCTGTGACCACTGTCCTGCCCCACAGCTGCTCGGGGACTGACAAAATAAACCTGGCACAGGAAGAAACACGATGGCAGGCGTCCAGCCCCTGACCTCGCGTGCCAGCACATGCCCTCAGCCCAGCACAGCATTCCCTGGAGGGCTGCTCCAGGTGAGCCCTGGGGAATGATGTACGGGGGATCCCTAGCCCCTCTTCGGAGTCCCCACCTCCCCAGCGATACCGAGCCCCGATTTGGGGTACCCATCCCTGAGGCAGGGTTGTCCTTCGTCCAAGACTGTGACCCCATCCTGTGCTGAGCCTCGTAGGCAGGAAGCACTAGCCATCAACATTTTTAAGGCTCATTTACACCCCAAAAACATTCCCCGTGCTATTCTGGGTGTGTATGTGTGGGAAGCGAACTAGGCTCTGCCACAGCCCCACGCAGCTCCCGGGGGGCCCCTGCCGCCAGCGCCACCGAGCCGGGGGATGAACAGAGCCACCATTCTCCCCGGCGGGCTGCGGTCCCCTGCGCGGCGGCTGGCGGGGGCCCAGCCAGCCCTGGCGGTGGTGCCAGGTGGGCCGTGCACCACGCCAGCACCGGCCCCCGCCACTAAATATAGCCCCGGCGCCCGGCCACGGAGCAGCGGGAGCGGGAGGCACGCGGCAGGGAGCGGGCGGCCGCATGCGCGGAGCCCCCGCGTGCGCTCCCCTCGCCGGGTGGATGTGGACACGTGCAGGCATGAGACTGCGGCCAAGGGGTGTAAACACGAGTGCGTTACAGTGCTGGTGGTGTTTTGCATGTAGGGGAGCCTGGGGTGTGCAGTGCAGTGAGTTTTCCACTGCAGTGCACACACAGGCGGTGCAGCGGGGGCACAGGGCTATGTGTACGTGGAGGGGGCAGCAGGCCTGCCCACCACTCAGGCTGTTCTGCACTGTGCTCTGCTCAGGGCTATGAACCCCCTGGGAGCTCACAGTGAGGTCCCTCTAGGGTAGGGAGGAGTGAGTACATGTGCAATCATCGCTTTTAGATCAATTAAATGCAATTAGCTGCTTTTGCAGAGCAGAGAAGCATCAGTGCCCAGTGTGGGGCTCTGGCAGGAACACAGTGGTGCTTGGGGGGCACACTGAGGCAGGGCGAGGGCATTCAGGGGTGCAGGGACTGTGTGGTGGCAGTGGGTCTGGGCGGATAGCACTGAGCTGCTGACACTCCTGGGATGTTCCCCAGTTTGGGGACACCCTTGTGGCACACAGTCTGCTCCCCCCAGCCCAGCACCAGGATAGGCCTTTTCCCAGTGGCATGTGGGCACTCCCCCAAATTCCTTTTGTTTCAACCACGGGGCTCCAGAGCATCTCCAACATGGGCAGGTTGGCATGTGGGGAGCCCAGACCCTCTGCAAAAAACAGGGTAGCAACTCCCCACTGCTGCAACACCAGAGGCCAGCCCTGCCCAGGCCAGCCACTCCCACCCCTAAGAAACCCCTCGCCTAAGAAAGCCACCTGAACATGGAGCCACTGAAGCCACCACCAAGGAGATGCTTTATTGGGGGGTGGTAGGCAGTGGGGGGTCAGCCAGGGGGCCAGCCCATCTGCCGCCCCCCCAGGACATGGAGGTGCAGGTGGTAGACGGACTGGGCACCGTGCTTCCCGTCATTGATCACTGTCAGGAGAGGGACAGGGGTCAGGTCACCCCCTTGCGTGCCCAGGCCCCCAGGACCACCAGGGAGGGTCCTGCCCCACGGCACGGTAGGGGACACCAACTCACCAAGGCGGTAGCCGTCAGCCAGCCCCTCTGCCTGTGCCGTGCGTGCTGCCACCACCAGCAAGTGCCCCAGGAGCTGCAGGAGAGGAGAGCAGGAGGGTCAGCACTCAGTGACCCCTACTGCCAATGTCCCAGGGACTCCCCTGGACTCACCTCGGTGTCTTGGGGACCCACACGGCTGATCCGGGGGATGGGGCGCTTGGGGATCACCAGGAAGTGCACAGGGGCTTGGGGGGCCACATCACGGAAGACCAGGCACTGCCAGGGGGTGCAGGGTGAGCACCACACCCGTGGGTGCTGCCCCCTCCCCCGGTGGGAACACATGCCCTGCTGTCCCCACTACCTTGTCATCTTCATAGAGGATGGTGGCAGGGATGGTGCGGTCGATGATCTTGCTGAAGATGGTGGGCTGCCCGCCCGCCTCCGCGCCGGCCGCCGCCGCTCGCTGTGCCTTGCTCACCTCCCCATCCCTCCCGCTGGGCGCCGACACGCACCGCTGGGCCAGGAGGGCACACAGAGCTTAGGGCCTGTCCCCTCGGGCGGGCAGGAGCACGGGGAGGGGACACGCAAGCGAGAGTGATGGAAGGAGGGACGCACATGGGGTGATGGGGGACACGGCTGGGAGTGAAAGGGGAACACATGGGGGGATATACATGCGGGTGCAGCCCGGGATATGGGGGCGATGCATGTAGGGGTGGTGGGGCACGTGATGGGGGAATGCACATGGGGGTGATTGGACTAATGCACGGGGGGTCATGGGGGGTGTGGTAGGGGTGCACGTGGGGACCGATGGGATACGTATAGGGGTCCTGGGGGCTGCACATGGGGTTGCTGCTCGGGTACGACCGTGGGGTGCACAGGGGTTGACAGCGAGGTGCACACGGGGGTTACGCACACGGGGATAATGGAGGGCTGTGTCCACGGGAGTGACGGGGAGGCTGTGCCCACGGGGGTGCAGGCCGGGGCGGGGGTGGGTGCGCACGGGTGATCCCAGGCCCCGTTCCGTGCCTGGGGGTGCGCGGGTCGGCGCTCACGTCCGCCGCGGACCTTGCCCGAGGGCGGGAGCAGCGGCGAGCGTCGCGCTGGGCGAGGGCCCGGCCCGGTGCCCCTGTCCCCCCAGCCCACCCCGCTATGTCTCTCCCACCCCGGTGTGTCCCTCCACCCCCGCGCCCACCTGCCCCACTCGCAGCGCGCCCCGCACCAGGCCCCGCGCCAGCACCGCCGCCATGGCCGCCGCGCCCGCCCCCCTCGTCACTCACATCCCGGTCCCGCCCCACACCCTTAAAGCGCCCGCACCCGCCCGCGCCCACGCGTGACGCGAAGGCGACCCCCGCGCCGCAGAGTCCCGGCGGGGACCCTCTGACCGGGGACAGGGTCACTTCCTCCCTGTGGGGAGTCCCGACCGCGGGGATGCCGCCCGACCTCCCCTCCCTCTACGGGTGGGTGTTGTGACCACGCAGCTAAGGAGCCCGGGTGGGAGGCTGTGCCAGGCGGGTTTATTGGCACTCAGAAGCCCATGCGTGGGCGCTTGCGGCGGGTCTGCGAGGCAGAAGAGAGCTGGCTCTGGGAGGAGGGGATGCAGAGCTGGCTGGCCTGGCTACCAGGGAGCTCTGGGGGCTCAGGGGGCCCCTCGGCCCACACCGACAGGTAGTCCCGCAGCGTCTTCCGCCGCTCCTTGGGGATGCCGCGGCAGCGCAGGCTCTGCGAGGACAGGAGCGCTTCATCGGGTGCCGGCGAGGCCGGGGGGCTGCCGGGTAGGGGGCTGCTGGCTGGGGGGGAGCTCTCCTGGGAGAGAACGTGTGGGCGGCTTGGGGAAAGCAGCAGGGGTCCTGCATCGCTGAGCTCGGACAGCTCCGACTGGTAGGTGAGGGAGGAGGTAAAACTGGCCGAGAGGCTGCGCCGGCCCCGTGCTCGTTTCTGCCGCCGCCGCCGCTCCCGCAGCGCCCGCTGTCTCTGTGCCATGCTGAAGCTCGTCCTGTCCTCCCACCACTGCTCCCAGTCCCCGGACCAGGCTGCTGTCAGACGGGTGCTCAGGAGGTCTGGACCCCCCTCTGGCTCCAGGGGCTGTGGCAGGGCAGGGGGCTGGAGGGCCATGGGCTCCCAGCGCTGGATGTGGCCCCCTTCCCGCATGGCCTGGCGCAGCTGCTGCCGCACTTGCCTCTGCAGGGCAGTGGGACCCGTTGGCCCTTCCAGCTCTTTGCGGGTGAAGAGGCGCCTCTGGCTGAGGCTGGGGGGCAAGGAGCGCTGGGGGGGCTCCCTGCAGCCTCTGAAAAGAGCCCTCAACCAGCGGTGGTACCGCAGGGCTGCAGCTGGGCTGGGCACCGCTGGGGTGGGCTGGGGGCTGGCACAGGGCTCCTGGGGCAGTTCAGCTTCCTCTGGGGGTGCTGGTGTGCCTGTGTTCTCCTCCTCCTCCTCCTCGTTGATAATCACCTCCAGGTTGGACAAGTAGAACGTTTGCTCTTCCTCCTCTTCTTCCTCCTCACTGCCCAAGCCCAGTGGGCTGCTGGCTGGAGCCTCGAAGAGAGGGGAAGAGCCAGGGGCTGTTGTGGCCTCATCCCTCAAGGTGGGTGCAGGGGGAAGCACTGCCTCGTGGGTCAGCCTCTGGCAGAAGACATCCCCAGCCTCGGAGAGCTGGAAAACCAGCATGGTCTCACACGTCCCATCCTCTTGCAGCATGGCGGCCAGCCCTGCAGAGGCAGGAGAGACATTTTCACCAGGGTTCCAGTCCTGGGGTTCCTGCAGGGGCCTGGCCAGCAGTTGGGGTTGCCTCCACTCCTCAGTGAGCACTCACTGCCGGATCCTGACCCGCACATCATTTTCTAGGTCATTAATCTCTTGCACAGGGTTGTTTGGGGCTTTGCTTTCACTTTGTCAGCCACCCTCCAACCAGGCCATGGACAAGGGCTACACTGCACCCTCCATTCCACCTTCTCCCCTGCCAAGACCTGCACCCCAGGGCAGTGTGGGACACCCACCTGCAGCCGGGGCTCCGAGGCGCTGCTGGAGCAGGCGGTGGCGGTGTGGGAGCTGGGTGGGCAGGTGCTGCAGGCACCCAGCGATGCTGTGCAGCTTCTGTGGAGCCCCCGCCAGCTGGCAGGCCGACTGGCTGCCCCCTGAGGAAACACACCCCAAAAACAGGGCAGTGAGCACGGATGCCAGGGCAGCAGCTGGTCCCAGCAGTGAGGAGGCTGGGACACAGGCACAGAGGAGCCCCAGCCCTGCAGCACCCCTGCAGCTCCGTCTCTCACCCCGGTATTGCAGCAGCAACAGTTCCTGGGTGCAGGATGCGCCGAGCAGCACTTTATGGGTCCTCCCAGGATCCCCTGGCATCAGGTGGGCAAAGAGCGGGGGGGCCTTCATCATGTGTGCCCACTTCAGCACAGGCACCAGTGGCAACCGCTCGTCCAGCACGTACACGGAGAACTGGGGCAGGGGGCACGGCTGAGCAGGGGCACACCCCAAGAGCGACCCCCCTGCCCCACAGGCATTGAGAGAGCCAGCTGTGCCAGGTGTCTCTCCCAGCTGCCAGCTCTGGTGGGACTCACCTGGGTGGTGACAAGGTACTGTGAGGGGTGAGCCCTGCCCAGGTACAGGGGCAGCACCACGCGCTCGCCCTGCTGGCAGCCCGCTTCCTCGCCCACCTTGAATAAGTCGAAGTGGCATTTCTTGGGGGCCTGCAGCAGCACAGCAAGGTGCAGTCAGCACTTTGGGCTGGGGAACCCTCTCCCCTGCCTGCCCCCAGCCCCGTGCCCACCCTCCCAGGCTCCCCCTCCCAGCCTCACCCGGGCATCCAGGCACTGCAAGCCGGTGCGGTCGGCACAGCTCAGCACCCGTGGGTGGGCGGTGAAGTCACTCCAGCGCCAGGGTGAATGGTCCCGAAAAAACATGGTCTGGGGGTCATGGCGGAGCTGCTGCAGCCTGCGGGGAGATGGCAGCGTCAGCAAAGGGAAGGGCTGCCCCTCTCACTTGCTCCCCGCCCCCTGAGACTCTGTTGTCTGCATGAGCTCCCAGCCAGCCCTGAGTGCCTCATCTCACCCTGTCTCGACGCTCCAGAGGTAGATGGTCCCACTCTGAGTGCAGACTGCCAGCTCCCCGGGAAGGTGAGGGCTGCAGGATCACAGAATCACAGAATATGCTGAGTTGGAAGGAGGCCACAAGGATCATCAAAGTCCAACTCCTGGCCCTGCACAGGACCATCCCCAAGGGTTACACCATGTGCCTGAGAGTATCATCCAAACGCTTCTTGAACTCTGTCAGGCTTGGTGCTGTGACCACTTCCCTGGGGAGCCTCTTCCAGTGCCCAACCACCCTCTGGGAGAAGAACCTTCCTCTAATATGAAAACTAAACCTGCGTGACACAACTTCAGGCCATTCCCTTGGGTTCTGTCACTGGTCACCACATAGAAGAGATGACTGCCTGCCCCTCTTCTTTTCCTCATGAGGAAGTTGTAGCTGCAATGAGGTCTCTCCTCAGTTTCCTCTTCTCCAGGCTGAACAGAACCAAGTGACCTCAGTCCCACAGCTCCTCATGTGGCATACCCTCAAGGCCCTTCACCATCTTCACTGCCCTCCTTTGGATGCTCATTAAAAACCTGGCACGGCATCACCCCCACAGGGAGCAGGGCAGCACCAGCAAAGCCCTGTCCTGCAGCACATACCTGACAGTGAGGCAGGAGGCAGGCACATCAGTATGGATGACCTGCAGTGGGGTGGGAGCTGTCCCTGTCCTGCCTGGCACCCTCCAAACTCCGCAGTGATAGTCTGAGCGGACCCCAATGAAATCTGTCAGGCAGAAGGAGGTGGCACATGAGCTGGCAGCGTCCTGGGGGCTCCCTGCCACCCCTTCACCCCAAGTCCTGCCTGTCCCAGGGCTCGCTCACCTTCCCCATCCACTCGGGCTGCAGCCACCTGCCGGATGCGTCCGCTGAGTTCAAACTGTGCCGGGGAGCCTCGGGCACGGGGCAGCTCCTCCAGCACCATGTCCTGGAAAACTGGGATGCCAGCTAAGGGCAGTACAACGTGACCCCCTTTCCCTTCCCTCCCCTCCCCAGGGACACCCCATGGAAAGGATACAGAGGTGGTTCATGGCCTGCCCTCCAGGGTACACCAGGCGGCCTGTCCGTGACTTTGTGTCGCCGGGGGGCAGCCAGGCCAGTGCCCCCCCTGTGAGGCTGTCATCGAAGAGCAGGTCAGACCACTGCAGCAGCAGCTCCTCGTGCAGGCAGTCCGCCAGCAGCCCCAGTGGCACCTCAAAGAGCCAGTCACGGCACAGGTGAGAGAACCAGCGCAGGCGGGAGGCCAAGTGCTGCCTGTGGCAGCCGCTGCAAGGCACGGACAGCATCAGGTGAGGGGACAGAGGAGCCCTCCCCAGAGCTGTGCAGGGCAGGGGACATGGGGACACACTCACCGCCGGGCCTCCAGACGGTCAATGTCCTCCATCAGGGCTGTCATCCGGATGGCGGTGCTCCGGGCTGGCCTCTGCGGGGAGGAGCAGGCAGAGGTTGGGGCTGCAGGGGGAATGGTGGGCGACAGCCTGTTCCCCCCAGGACTGACACTGACCTTCAGGCTGGAGTTGCCCAGGTAGAAGTTCTTGTGCAGCAGCCGCCCCATGGAGCCAAATGCGTCCTCCGGATGATCCACAAAGAAATGGCCCAGCTGTGCAGGAAGGACAGGGATAAGTTGGGATGTGCAGAGATCCCATACTCCCCTCCAAGGTCCGTGGCAGGACACGGCGCCCCCAGCCCCACCTGCTTGGCAAAGTCCAGGGTGGCTCCAGACCTGCCTGCCCGGAGCTTCCTGCACACACTGTTGCGGTACAGGATGTCCTGAGGAGTGGGCGACGGGATCCAGCGGCCTGTGGGGAGAGGGCAGGGGCTGCCTGGCACCGGGACACGAGCACCGGGACAGCGCTCAGCACCCCCGGGCAGGGGTGGAGGCGGGACGGGATGTGCCCCGAAGGGCCGCCGCGCAGCATCCCTCGCTGCTCCCGCGGCTCTCACCGGCGCCGGGCGGCAGCACCGGCACGGCCGCGGCCTCGGCAGGGTTCCAAGTTTCGTCCTTCCCGCCTCGGCGGGGCACGAACGCCGGCTGCGCCTGCGGAAGGAGGAAAGAGGAGAGTCAGAACGGCTCCCGCGCGTCCCACCGGGGTCCCTCGGCCGCGCCAGACCCCCGCGGCCCGGGCAGGGCCTCACCTGATGGCGGCTGGGGCCGAGGCTGCCCTCCAGCACCTGGCCGTGCTCGCCCCAGCCAGCGGCCGGCGCCGGGCCGCCCTCTTCCCGCGGCGGGCCGGCACCGAAGTAAGAGGGGAAGAGAACGGCGGGGAACTCCATGGCTCGGGAGAGGAGCGGGGCCGGGGGTCCCGAGGGTCCCGCAGGCACAGCGCGGCCACCGGGAATGGCGTCACCGCCGCCACGCACCAATCAGCTCCCGGCAAGGAAGCGGGGCCAGAGCGCCGCCCGCGGTACGGCGGCGCGGGGCGGGAGCGCCCCCTGGCGGCTTGGAGGAAAAAACGCGCCACGGGCGGGGGGAGCGGGACAGGACCGGGATGGGAATGGGACGGGACCAGGATGGGAACGGGACGGAGGGATGGGAATGGGACAGGACCGGGATGACAACGGGACAAAACCGGGATGGGAACGGGACAGGACTGGGTTGGGAACGGGACGGGTGGAGCGGTGGGACAGGGACGGGAACGGGACAAGGACTGGAACAGGACGGAGGGAGCGGTGGGACCGTGACGGGAACGGGACGGGACCGGGATGAGAACGGGACGGGACCGAGATGGGAATAGGACAGGATCGGGATGGGAGCGGGATGGGAATGGGACGGGGGTAGAGGGACAGGAATGGGACAGGACCAGGATGAGAACGGGACAAGACCAGGATGGGAACGGGACAGGACCGGGACGGGAACAGGACGGTGGTAGAGGGACAAGAATGGGACAGGACCGGGATGGGAACGGGACGGGGGGTGCGGGAGGGGACGGGATCGGGCTGGGAACGGGACGGGGTCGGGATGGGCACGGGACTGGACCGGGTCTAGAACGGGACGGAGGGAGCGGTGGGACGGGAACAGGGTGGGGGGAGCGGTGGGACCAGGACAGGAACAGGATGGGATCGGGCAGGGGGAACGGTGGGGCAGGGCTGGACCAGGACCAGCACTGGGGAGCTATTGGAAGTGGAACCCACCGGGACACAGGCAGGGCGTGGGCATTGCTCGCACCCAGGAGAGCACTGCGGGTCCACTTCCTGGCTCTCCGTGGCTGCCCTGGCCCTGGTGCTGTGTGCCCGTGGGGTGTGGATTGTGGGGCCACGGGACAGCCCTGAATGCTTTGTGTGAGGTGAAAGGGCAGCTCCTGGAGGATGTTCTGTGGGGAGTATGGGATGGGAGAGGAGCACTTCCATGAGTAACCTGCTGCCTCCATCCTGGCCAAGGAGGGTGGTGATGTCAGAGCAGTCTGGGGATGACGTCATGGGAGTTTGGGGAAGTGTGATGAGATCGTTTCCAGTCAGGATGCCCTCATCCTAGCATGTGATGTCCCGACCCCCCCTCTGGAACACCTCCTCTGTAAGATAAATGTTATCATTTGCTATAAGAAAATGACAGCCATTGTTAGAAAAACACTCGACCCCTTTAAACAGCCCCCACAGGTACTCCTGTCTCCCCCAGCCCCAGTGCATGCCCTCAGCCCCGTACCCCTCTCCACCACCCCTCTGTCCACAGGACATATTCCTTTTCCTAGACCCATGCTCCTGTTCCTCAGCCTGTGTCCCTGTACACCAGACCCATATCACTGTCCCAAGTCATTGTCCCTGTTCCTAGCCCAATATCCCTCTCCACCAGCCTATATCCCTGTCTGCAGACCCATGTTCCTCTCCCTCAGCTGCATATCTCTATTCCCAGCCTGTATCCTTGTCTTCAGCTCCATGTCCCTGTCCCCAGCCCGTGTCCCTGTTTCCAGCTTTGTATCCCTGTTCCCAGCCCATGTTTCAGTTCCAGCCCCATGTCTCTGTCCTGGGCCTCCCTGGCCCATGTCCCTATGCCCTGTAACCCCATTCCCAGCCCACTTCTCGGTTCCAGCCCCATGTCTCTCTCTGCCAGCCTATATCCCTGACTGCAGTCCTGACCCCAGTCATTGTCTCTGCCATCAACCTGTATCCCTGTCTGCAGTCCTCAGCCTATATCCCTCTCCACAGCCCCAAGTCCTTCTGCCTCAGCCCTGTATCGCTGTTCCCAGCCTATATCCTTGTCCCCAGTCCCATGTCCCTGTCCCCAGCCTATATCCCTGTCCACAGTCCCAAATCCCTCTCCCTCAGCCCTATACATCTGTTCCCAGCGTATACCCTTGTCCCCAGCCTCATGTCCCTGTCCCCAGCCCGTCCCGCGCCCCCGTTCCGGACCCATACCTCGCTCCCAGCCCCACGTCCCCAGCCTCGTGTTACCCACCCTCCCATCTCCCTTCCCGCCCGCGCCGCTGCCCCCGCGGTGTCCCGGTCAGCGCCGGGTCCATCCCGGGTTGGGGGGACCGGCGGGGGGGCGTCGTAGCGAGGGGTGGGCGTGGCGTGGCGGTGATTGACGTGCGCGGAGGCCAATGGCGGCCCGGGGGCGGCCCCGCGGGGGCGGGGCGGGTGACGAGGG